CATTTACTAGCTCAAACACATTGAAGCTCTATTAAAAAAAGAAAAGCTGTACAAGAGACAAGAGCAGGGGCGAGCTAGAAAGTTTTTAGGGTTGAGAGACTAAATTTTGACATTGGACTTAGTCTATGTGTTGCAACAAAAGCAAAACACTACACCATTGACAATCCTGACACTATTGTCATACTGAGCATTATATTTAATTAAAATATACACTGATACTTAGTGAAGCTATTCAAGAACAATTGAGAGTAATCAGATGAAAAAGACAACGATTGCTCTTGACAGTGTTTCAAACTCAATTGCTTCAAAAAAAGTTACTCTTCTTTTGCAATAGCCTTGATTTACATCAACATTTTTGCCAATCCCATAACATTTGTTTCAGCAGGCTTTTAGTTGTTTTGCAAAACAAGAGAAGATAACTTTTAATTTCCATTTTCATTGTGCATCTGTAATAGTAGAACTTCCAAGCGTGAGGATAAAATGATTGCAAAAGGCATTAATAGCAATAATATGAAAGCTAACATTTGCAGTTCTGGCTCAAAAAAAACCCCTTCCAAAGGCATTTTTGAACACTATTCTTAAACCCATTAGCAATATTACAGTTTTAGCAAGCAACACTTTAAAAACATTTAAGATCTAGTATCAGTGAGCAAGTCTTTAAAGTCACCTCAAAATTACAAAGAGAACCTGATTTTATGGTACATGAAATTCATCATATCGTACCAAAAACTAAATTCATCTCATCAACCATGGTAGTTGGTCATTATTACATAAGAAGTTCACACCTATAGCTTTTTGTCCTAATTTGGAGAGCCTGCATCACTGAAGTTATAGGAAAGATTGACAAGTGGGTGTAGCAAAATTTTTATTAGCTGTTAAATCATAACAGCTTCCCACAAAAACTCATAGAAGATAGAAATTCAGTTGTTTGGTTGGTTTTTTTTTCCCCAACATCAGTCATACTAACTCTCATCTAGCTCTTCCTAACCTTCCTACATAGCTTCATCCCGGGTGTGCACTGAATCAAGTCAGGAAATTGCAACTTTTGCCTTTTTAAGCTGTAAGAGATTATTCATAGCAGTGTTAGTTTTGCGGAAGTATCTCTGCTGGCTACAGGGGACCGCCACACAACGCATACAATTAATGCCTCGGACGGGCATTTTAAAGCGCCGTACGAGCGCTGTTTGCATGTAACCGCGGGCTCTTTAATAACGATATGCTCAGAGAGACATCGTGCAGTTCAGTTTTCCCGGAGCCGCCGAGGAGCTTCTAGGCAAAGCTCG